GGTGTACCAGATTATTTACGAACTATAATTAGAGCGTACTTGTGTAACAGGAAAGCGGCATATACAGACAGGAATGGTGGTTTGAGGAGCTTCCGGATCACTAGAGGAGTCCCACAGGAATCGGTTTTGGGATCACTGTTATGGATCATAGCATACGATCAGATTCTCATCGAAGATGATGACGCCGATGGTTGTCACATCTCATGCTATGCAGACGACACACTATTAGTCACAGTGGCCAGGGACTTTAGGACAGCGGTCCACAGAGCGGAAACCTACACAGCTATAGTGGTTGATAAAATAGAAAAATTGGGATTAAACGTGGTTGTTGAGAAGACTGAAGTCTTTTGCAAGAGGAATCTCGTTTTGTCGGATATTCTACCTAAAAAATTAAAATTCGAGGATCAGCCATAAACGTAACAAATAAGATCAAATATCTCGGACTTATATTGGATATGCAACTCACATTCAGAGATCACCTAATGTACGTCATCCCGCATGCAAGAAAGTTGGTAGGAGCTGTTGGCAGACTGATGCCGAACCTGAGGGGACCTGGACAAAATAAGAGACGGTTGTACGCTTTTGTTGTGCAGTCCGTCATTTACTACGGTGCTCCCATCTGGGCGAATCGCTTAAATTATAAATCGTTTCCCGTAAAGGAGATGGAGAATATAATAAAAACACTGTCGATCCGGATATTTGCGGATATAGAACTATATCATACATAGGATCAACATTGTTAGCTGGGATTTTCCCTTTTAAAATTAGAGCGGAGCGTCTTGCTCAATTGTATTGGAGGGAGAGGGAGGGAGGAGCGGAGACCGCGGCTCTCTCTCTTCGCGCAAAGAAGGAGCTAAGGGAGGCAGACTGTAGGGCGATCGAGGATTGGAGAACTCTTCTGGAGGATCATAGGTAGGCAGGGGTTAGAATTAGGGAGGCGTTATCCCCTCTTCTCGGAGCATGGCTGGGTCGCACCTACGGTTCGTTGACGTTTCGAATGACTCAGCTTTTGAGCGGCCACGGCTGCTTCAACGAGTTCCTGTACAAGATAGATAGGGCTCCCTCACCCGTCTGCGCTCACTGCGCAAGCAGGAAGCGGGATAGCGCGGATCACACCCTTCTGGAGTGCAGGGCTTGGTTTTGGCACCGTTATAACCTGTATGACTCCCTTGGTTTCGAACTGGGAGATATCGACCCTCCAGATCTCGGTAAGATTTTGGGAGCGATGCTCGGTGGACGGCGGCAGTGGTCAGCCATGCATCTCTTCGCCGAGAAAGTAATGCTCGCTAAAGAGCAAGCGGAAAGGAAACGGCAAGGAATCGGATAGCTCACATGCGTGTACACCTTGGCGAGTTCGAAATTGTGAATCTGTGTTCACTATCTTGGTTCTCAATCATGCGTGCCCTTGCCCTAGTAACATTGTGTCCTATGAACACACCGGTGGGTGTTCGTGATTAGTTAGTTGCCCTCTTTTTGGAAACAGCCTGTTGGTGCGTTCCAAATACCTTCTATGAAAGCGTGTTCACATGTAACACAATTTTGAATCAGACTCGATTCTCATTGGGTTATTCCTCTCAATAGTGAGGGGTGTGTTCTTCCTCTTCTTACTAAACCCCTTTATAGCGGGTGTGTGCGTGTATGTGTTCTTTGTACACCCAGGCGTCTTTTCGTTTTCGCCCTGTGCGTAAACAAATGATTGATCAGACGTGAAAGTGAGCATGTCTGCGGATGCTGGAAAGTGACGAGCGAGTGTGTTGCCCTTTGGGCCAAGACCAGGGGGAGGGTTCGTGACGTGTTGTTCCGTCAACGTTCCAGGACCCTCCCCTGATACGGTTGTTAAGGCTACAGAGGAGGTTTAGTGGGTAGGCAAGGCTAGGTGGTTTTTCGTTTGACGTGTCACCCACTCCCCACCATTTGTCCGGTGGGGGTCTTACGAAGATTCCTCCTCTATAAAAAAAAAAGGACAGGTTAGCTAGAGCGCACTGGGGACTGAAGTTCCGAGCGCTCTCCACAATTTACAGGGGCGTGTTCGCACCGACGGTGGCTTATGCTGCCGCGGGGTGAGCTGATCTCTGTACCATAGGTAACCTGAAACTTCTGAGGGCCTTGCAGCGCCGTGTCTTGATTTCAGTGACCGGCGCATACCGCACGACCTCGTGGGAGTCGCTCTGCGTCGTTGCTGGGGCGGCACCAATTGACATCATACTCCGGGAGTACGCCGCGCGCTATCAAGTCAGGGTAGGGAGTGACGCCAGGATAAGAAATTTAGAAATACCGTCGGGTACGGATAGGTGCGTAGCGCTGAGACAAATAACGGAAGAGGCGATTGAGTTGTGGCAGGCCAGATAGGTCTTGTCAAATAAAGGCCGTACCATCTTCGCCTTCTTTAAGGATGTACGTGATGGCCATGTATTCTTCTTTGGAAGCCAATCACTATAACACGCAGGCTTTAACAGGCCACGGAAACTTCCGCGCGCGATTAAACGCACTCGGTCTTGCGAGTGACGACGCGTGCCCGTGTGGTAGTCCGGATACAGTGCAGCATTTCCTACTGCACTGTCCGTTGTTCGAGGCGCAGAGGGTGGCACTGCGCGAGCTGGTTCCGCAGAGCGGATGGCGATGGCCGGATGCCGCGCAGTTCTTTGTGTCGAGTCCGGAGGCACTTGCGGCGTTCGCTGGGTATTGCGCCGAGTCCCTATGGTTGAAGGGATTCGAGGATTCCCATGTCTAATTGGTCGAAGCGATGTCATAGGGCGTGAAACCGGGGGATGTCGGAGCCTCCGGTGATGGGAGGGTGGTCCCGTAACCTTCTCGGGGTCGCCACCTCTTCCCCCACGCTCCGTGCGTTTAGGAGAATGCGTTGGTTGAGTGTATCCTGTGTTCCGTGGCACGGCGCCACTCCTCGATCCAAAATATCCTAATCTCTCCATATCTTCTTCCTTTCCTACCCTTAACAGGGTCAGAGCGTGGTGCCAGATCGAGTGCCAGATGAGTGGGCCTCCCCGTGGTCCCCGTGGGCGCGACAAACATCGATGGGGGCGCTGCGCTACCGGACGCCCGAGTGCGTCCGGACGATGGTGCGGCCAAGACCCCCCTCGGAGGTTGGAGGGGTGTGAGGAGGCGATGCGGGTCGCGGCCAAATCACCCATTCCCACAAGACGACCAAGTGGGCGCTGCTGAGTTTTTCTATTGCCCGTCTCGGGGCGGTTTCGCTGGATGGTCGTACTGTTGTTGCGTATACTCGTATGGGCGAGGTCGCAGGGGTACGTTTCCTTCGGGGGACGTGCTCAAACAATAACTGTATCGCCAACTCGAATAAGAAAGTGCGACGGCGAGCGAAGTATGCACACGTTCAGCGTCTGTTCCGCTCACAGATGTCGCGCGTGGCCAAGGAGATTCTAGACGGTGCCCAAAAATGCACGTGGTCCCCGATGTGCAGCAAATGGCTGCGCATTGGCGTCCGTTTGTCGCGCAGGCCTCTGTGCCGGTCGCGCCAGCTTCACGACTACTGCCTAAGCGTTGGGCACCTGGTCCCCGATCTCCTGCGAGATGGTAGTTAACTTGCCCCTTAATTCGGCTCCCGGATTGAACGATATCGGTGTTCGTCTGTGGAAAGCCATGCCATCTTCGTCAAGGCTCTCCTCTTCAACATTGTGCTGCATTGCGGAAGTTTCCCAGCGTTGATAAGTCGGACAGTTTTCATCCTGAAGAAAGGTGAATGCTCTCTCCGGATGATTTCCATCCGATTTCTATCACCTTCGTAGCTGTGAGGCATTTAAGATCTTGGCCCAGAGGCTTCGCGAGTCCAGAATTGTCGACCTGCGGCAGCGCTGCTTCTACGACCGGTGCGGCGAGAACGTTGCCGTTCTGGCATCATTATTGATGGATGCCAGATGCCGTCATTGAGAAATACATGTTGCCTCCCTGGACTTCGCGAAGTCTTTCGATGGCGTCAGCCATGGCTATCACCAGCTATCACCAGCACTCTGGCTTGGCAAGCCAGGCGTGGGCCTTACAACTTCACGAATTACATCCAGTGCATTTATGCGCGTAGCAGCACAATGTTTGAAGTGTGGTGTCAGATCCGAGCTCTTCGGTATCGGCAGAGGGATCTCCTATCGCTGGTCTTGTTTTGCCTGGTAGTAGATCATGAGATCCATATCGACGTCGGATACCAGCTGGGAGAACATTGCATCAACAGCATTGCATATGCCGACGATGTTCTCCTCTTTGGTGCCTCCAGACCAGTATCCAAATGATGGAGGATAAGGCAAGAAAGATGGGGCTTTCTTTCAGGCTAAGAAGTCTGTTCTTTCCCTCATTCCTTCCGGTCGGAGAAGAAGATCAAAATTATCACGACTCCCCAGGTCCGGCTGCATGACGGCACGTGACTGCCGTAGCTTGACACGGTTGAATGACATTGGGGGTCGATTTTCGGCCGGCAGATCCGAAGAAAGCTCGGATATTTCCATCTATCTAAGCCGGTTGAGCAGAGCACCTCTGAAACCCCAGCAGCTCTGAAAGTCCGCTGTTTCCTTCTGCCACGCCTCTACCACGCGCTGGTTCTGGGCAGGGCAAATTGAGAGCTCTGAATGTTAGAATAAGTCATTTCATATTTAATTGTTATGCAAAATTGACGCCATCTATATACACGAGCGCCTTGTTTCTTGATCTACTATGAATCAGTTTTCATCTGTATCTCATACGAGGCTGATGTCACATTTTTAATAAATTTATATTTACGCTATCCTCAGTCTATTTCCGTAGTTTACCCCTAGAATGTATACAACTCTGTTATTCTAACAGGTTATGGGCACTCATTCCGCCGTGTTAATAATTCTGGGGAAAAAACGGACAAGTAAACCGATCGGTCGATAGCATTCCGAAGCGCGCATAACAACAGCGCCATATTTCCTGTGTACGACTGTCGATCTTGAAACTTCGCTTCGCAGTCCAGTCGTTCTGTGTGTGTGCGTGCGAATTTTAAAAAAAAATCGAAAATGTCGGAGCCGCTAAATATAAAAAACGTGACCAAGTTTGATGGAACAAACTTCACTTTGTGGAAGTTCCAGAACGCGATATTTACCGTGCATGAATTAAAAAAAATCGTCGATGGCACGAAGACTGAACCTCGTAGAACTGATTCCACGTGGTCGAAAGAAAACGCAAAGGCCGTGTTCATAATTTTGTCGACAATGGAATATTCACAGCTTGCATATCTGATAACGTGTAATTCTGCGGCTCAAATGTGGACGAAGTTAATACATGAACAAAAAACTGCATCCAACAAGCTAATGTTGATGCAAAAATTTCACGAGTACTGCATGACAACAAACGATTCAGTGTCGCAACATGTTGCAAAGATAGAAAATATGGCACGGCAATTCAAAGATTTCGGCGGACAAGTGTCGGATGTCGCCATAATGGCAAAAGTACTCGGAAGTCTGCCTACAAAATATAACGCTTTAATAACTGCATGGGATAGTGTTGATCCAGCACAGCAAACTCTGAATAGTTTATTGGAACATTTGTTGAAGGAAGAAGCACGCCTAATAGCAAATGACGACGTTGCAAGTGCACTTGCTGCCATGAGTTTGAATTTTAAGCAAAATCCAGCTTGTTAAAATCCGGCCAGACATCAAAAAGCAACGATGAATCTAAAAAAATTGAAAGCAGAGAGTGTTTCTATTGTCACAAGATCAGGCATCTAATCAAGAATTATCGAGAGTGAAAAAAGGCAAATGATAAGCAAGATAAGGGCCACAATAAAAACAGCAATGATAAAAACGGTAATGGTAACACCGAAGCTCTTATTATGAACAGTGTTTTTCCGGACAAAGAAATACCTGTGTCGAATTCGCCTATGTCCGCTCTTAGTACCATCTCACGTAGCGAAGCGTCATCTCTTTTCGCGAGTGATATTAAAGATATATGGCTATCTGACAGTAGTGCATCAAACATTACCTTCCGAAGAGAGTTCTCATCTTTTACCCCTTTACCTCCTTTACTCGAAAATGGATACGTCGAATTAGGTGATAACGGAATGCGTGATGTGAAAGGAATTGGAACAATTAATGCGAAAAGGTTAATCGATGATGTCTGGTGCAGTGTAAATCTTGAAAATGTGCTGTATGTGTCAAGTTTCAAAAAGAATTAATTTTCAGTAGGTGCATGCACAACAAGAAAGCTGGACGTGAAGTTCATATACAACGCCGTCGACGTTCTGAGAGTAGATCACGTAATCCTAAGAGATATCAAATAATAACATATGCCGACTATTTTTAAAATCTATAGTTATCGGTGAAACAAATGCAACCGTAAACAATAATCTCCAAATTTGGCATGAACGTCTTAGTCATGTGAAATGACCAATCAATCCTGAAAGAAATGGCGAAAAAGGGTTCGTTGATGGTGTAAATTTTTCCAAAACTGAGGAATTTTTCTGTGAAGCATATCAATGGAAAAGCCCATCGACATCGTTTAAGAATCAAACAACTAAGAGGAATTCGCTGCCCGGAGAATTTATACATAGTGATGTTGTTGGTCCGATGTCAACACAATCCTTGAAAGAAGCTCGATTTTACGTAGCCTTCAAAGATAACAACTCTGGTTTATGTTTATTTTATGCGACACAAAGCAGATGTATTCCAATACTTTAAAGAATACGAGCAAATGGTGTCGAATAAGTTCAATCGACGCATTAAGGTGCTGCGACATTAAGGTGCGGCTAAGAATATACAACAAGCAAATGGAGGATTATCTTATACACAGAGGCATTCAACTCGAGATTACAGCACCGTATACTCCTGAGCAAAACGGTCACTCAGAAAGAGATAATCGCACCATAATTGAAAGTGCGAGGCCAATGTTACATGCAAAAAGTATGCCGCGTTTCCTGTAGGCCGAAGCTGTAAATACAGTCGTATACATACTTAATCGTACTTCGTCCATGCAGGTAAAAGATATTACCCATGAAATTTGGATTAGTAAGAAACCTAATTTGTCTCGTGCAAAAATTTTTGGATGTGATGCTTTTGCTCATATTTCGGACAATCGAATGAAATTTGACAAAAAGGCAAAGAAGCTGTAGTTGGACATCAAGGTGAATCCACAAATTATCGATTTTACAATTTTAGTCACTCATCAAATAACCGTGTTCAGAAATGTAACATTCAATGAATTAATGCTAGAAAACAAGAGTCAAGGAAAGTTGAACTTGAAATTCATGTTGATGAAGAAAGAGTTTGTCAACGAGGTTCTAGAAGGTGTCATCAACCAAGATGTAGATCAAAACAAGGAACCAAAGGATCAATAGCCACCTGAAATCAAGGCCATCAGCTTCGAGATCGTAATCTAATACGTCCTCCTGACAGATATCAGGCGAATTATATTGAGTACCATGAGCTAGAAACTTACGAAGAGGCAACCATATGTGAGGACACTGAATTCTGGAAAGAAATAATCAACGAGGAGCTATTAGCTCATCAGAAGAACGGAAATAAAAGATTGTTCCTCTCCCACCTGAACAAAAGGTGATTGACTCCAAGTGGACATTCAAGGTCAAGAGGTCACCTTCAGGAGATGTTGAGCGTTTTAAAGCACGTCTGTGTGTTCGAGATTTTTTGCAGCGACCTGGAATGGATTATTCAGAAACCTTCTCTCCAGTTGTTAGATTATGCCTCAATACGAGTGCTCCTCGCTATAGCTGCCGAAGAGAATTTGAAGATCCAACAGTTCGACGTGAAATCAGCATTTTTAAATGGAGACCTGGAAGAAGACATCTATATGAAAGTGCTAAAAGGTGTTAGTGTCAGGAATGAAAATGGTCTCTCGTAATGTCTGTAAACTTGTAGACTCGTTGTATGGGCTAAAACAAGCCTCACAGTGTTGGAATACAAAGTTTAGTGCATTTTTGAAGCAATTCAATTTAAAGGAAACAAGTGCCGACAAATGCGTATTTTACGGTTCAATTAGAGACTGTGAAATATATTTAGCATTATACGTAGATGATGGCCTGATCATGGCAAGATCTGAGGAAGCATTGAATGATGTAATCCAAGCACTTCAAAGTGAATTTGAAATCACTTTGGGCCACTCTGAAATATTTGTAGGTATGCAATTGATTCGAGACCGCAATAAAACGTTCAATATTTGTTCACCAGAAAACCTATGTGGAGAAAATTTTATCGCGTTTTCATATGATTGCAGCAAAATTTTTGTCAATTCCTGCTGATCCTAATATAACTTTAGAATCTGATAAAGAAAGTAAGACAGCTGATTCAGGAATCCCATATCGCAAAGCAGTTGGCTCTCTAATTTTCCTGAGTATGATCAGTCGTCCTGACAGTTCATTTGCAGTAAATGTAGTAAGTCGATACTTACTTAGATAAGTTTAATTTGAGTCATTGGCATGCTGCAAAGAGAATTTTTCGATATCTTGGAGTCACATCAGATGTAGACATTCTGTATACAATCAGTGGGAGCGATCTCACGCTGATAAGTTACTCTGATTCAGATTACGCAGACGACATTGACATGCGTCGATCGACCTCGGGATATATATTCACACTTGCGGGTGGTCCAATCACATGGTCGTCGCAACATCAGAAAATGATAACACTAAGTACTACCGAGACTGAGTATATAGCGGCATGTACTGCGACAAAGAAAGCCATCTGGCTGAGACAACTTCTAAGTGATATTGGGTGTCAGTGTGAAGACCCAACAATTATTAATATCGATAATCAGAACGCAATCCGCCTCATACGCAACCCAGAGTTCCACAAAAGGACAAAACACATTGACATACGATATCATTTTATCCGCGAAAAGTATGAGAGTAGAGAAATAGATGTGTGCTATGTTCCAACTGATTCTCAGTTAGCTGATATACTAACTAAAGCACTACCCAAAGATCATTTTAAGCTCTTGTGCAATAGCTTAGGTGTAGCGAAAAGTATGTAAAATATTTAATGAGTGGGAATATTAGAATAAGTCATTTCATATTTAATTGTTATGCAGAATTGGCACCACTTATATACACGAGCGCCTTGCTTCTTGATTTACTTATGGATCAGTTCTCATCTATATTTCATATGAGGCTGATGTTACGTAGATAATTCTTAATAAATTTATATTTACTCTATCCTCAGTCTATTTCTGTAGTTTACTCCCAGAATAGTGTATACAACTCTGTTATTCTAACACTGGACATTCAGACCAACGCGGCTGTTCGCAGATGGCTTCGTCTCCCGAATGATGTCCCAACGGCCTTTTTCCACTCACCGGTATCGAGTGGAGGGCTCGACATTCCCGCGATGGCCTCCACGGTTTCAGGCTTGCTGTTTGAATGCCTTGACAGTCTGGAGTCTTCTATCGCCCCGTAGATGCAGGCGATTGCCCGATACACCTGGGTAGTGCGTCGCGCGCTCACCCGCGACAGAGTGTACCTCGCCACCAAGCATCGGCGAGATGTGTCCACCGATGCGTACAGCTCGCTCCTCACCCCTCTCGACGTACGAATACGTGTCGTTATTGGCACGAACATGTACGTGCTGGACAAAATCACGGCCGGGAATGGCACGATTTCCATGATCCATCCACCACGAGGAGAAGTTGGAATTCAAAACTGTCCACCAATTGTATTAGTTTTGAATTGCGAGAGTGCCGAAATTTCAACTTCTCCTCGTGGTGGGTGGATCATGGGAATCATGCCATTCCTGGCAATGATTTTGTCCAGCACGTGCATGTTCGTGCCAATAACGACACGTATTCGTACGTCGAGAGGGGTAAGGAGCGAGCTGTATGCCACTAGATGTCGTACTGGCTGCAATTCCACCGAGAATGTGCCACGCATGTCATCCAGGATTGCTTCCGCACTCATAGTGGCCGCGTTCTTCGGCACAACGCCGTGTGCCGAGTCCTGGCGTCGGGACTAAAGAACGCGAGCTGAACGGTACACGAAGAACCGGTGTACGTCACGGCCGAGGACGCAAGCCAGACTTGCTTTGCCTGCGTGACTCCAAGGCCGTTGTGTTGGACGCGCAAGTAATCAGCGGCGCAACTCCTTTGGAAGATGCCTACGAACGCAAAGTTCGTTATTATAAGAACAACGCATCCTTGGTTGGGACGATCTCCCGGGTGACTGACGAGCAGCCGAACATTGGGTTCTCCTCTTGTACCATCTCATGGAGGGGAATCTGGTGTCTTGCGTCCGCTGAGTGGCTGCTGGGCATGGGATTGACCAAAGAGCTTTTGCGGGGAATTACTACGCGGGTATTACAGGGCAGCCACATTAACTGGATCTGGTGGAACCAGATGACATCCATGGTTTCCACCGGACTAGTGCAGCGGAAGGGGATTGGGTGAGGAGACGACGATCTGTGTTTTTGTGTGGGGAACCCGTCCCCCTTTCCCTTGTCCTCGTTTTGTATTTGTCCTGTGATGTCGGGTGCGTCCCTTCAATTTTTGGTTATCATGGACCCGTAATTTTATGTATTTTGTGCTTTCTCAGAGCATTTGGCTTTTTCTTTTGTGTTGGCGGGCAAAGAAAAAAAATAGCCAAATGCCTCGTCATCTAATTAATGCGCATCAATGGATTAACGAGATTCCCACTGTTCCTATT